GCGCGTCGGTCGCTGCAGCTTAACGGCTTTCATTTCTGAGATTTATACTTTACGAGGAAATACGTCTCAATAAAGCAAGGGAGGCCTGGAGTAAATACGCGTTTAAAATAACCATTTAGAATATTGTTCTTTATGCACATTTGCGGCTATCTCGAATACAAGAAAATTACAAATAAATAAAAACCCAGCATGACTCCGACTTGGGAGACTATTCCACGCATCGCTTGTCAACAAATTAAAAAAACAATCGAAGGTTCGTTTAATACGTTGGCTTTCGCGACCAATATCATCTATAATACAGGTTTTTTTGGGTTAGATCGCAATTTCTAATTGGCTGTGTTGGGTGGTGGCGGGTTTAACGAGACATTTATATTTACGCGATCTAACCCAAAAAGAACCTGTGTTATGGACAATCGGAGGTTACCAGGTCAGAGGTCAGAGCATTGTGCTGCCAACCGCTGAGATGCTCGGTTTGATTAGACCGTGTACCCAAGTGTAGCAAGTTAATGGTCTCAGCCCGGTCAGTAATGCCCACAGAAATAAAAAAAGCACGAACAAATCATTTTTGTCTCGGTTTGGTTTTTATTTAGCTGAATTACACCTCTGGAGAATTACAAATTGGAGGCTCTCTCCAAATCAGGAGCACACGGGAAATCGCAGCGCCCCTCAGAGATCTCTCGTAGAGGTCTCGGGAGTAGTTTCGCGATGACGCCTTCCGCGGACCGTCGCTCTATAACACGAAGGCCGAACAATGCGGCCGTCACCACCGCCGTCACCGCCATCACCACAACAACAACCACTACCACGGCCGTCACCGCCATCACAACAACAACAACCACCACCGCGCGAGAGTTCCCAACAGACGCTTATCTCGGCGCGCGACGCTGATCGCGCAATTGGAATAAAATTAAGCAAGAGATGCAATTTTTTCTCTCTGGAAAAACGAGCCCTATTTTATCTCCCTTTAAAAGTTTACATTCTCCCCCCCCGTCTCTGTGTCCGTCTCTCTTACACCCGTCGCCAAGCGCAGAGATGCCCCCCCCCCCATTTCTCATGCCGAGAGGACGACCATTATCCCCCAATTCCCCCCCCCCCCCCCCCCCCCCCGTTTTTGTTCTTCTCACAGCCGTGATTGAATGCAGAATGCGGAGGAAATTGGGAAGCAAATTGCGACAGATTGTGCTTTGTGGGGCCCGCGAGGCAAATTGTGGGTTTGTGGCGGTTGCCGGGTGAAGGGCGTTCACACGTCTCCGGGGCTCACACGCCGCGTTGGCCCTTAATAGGCGCTCGCTAACGGCGCTTGCCGTGATAGTCTGTGTGGACTAAGCTCGGAGGGGGGAGGGGTGGGCTATGGGTGTGTGTGTGTAGCGGTTAGCGCACTGCGGACCCACTGACCCGAGTTCAATTCCCGCACGTGGCCATCACCAGTGTCGATTATCTGAACCGGTCCTGGGCCTCCCCTAAGTCGACTCGGCCTCAAATGAGTACTTAGTACGGTGTGTAAACATCAACACGAGAGAGACTAAGGCAGCCGGGAGTGGTGTGCCGTGCTGGCCTTCATAGGTGCTCGCTAGCAGCACTTGCCCCAACAATATGTTAAGGCTATACGGTGGATCTTTGTCTTTGTGTGTAATAGGGGAGCGGTAGTGTAGTGGTTAACGTGCTGCGCTACGAACCTGGCGACTCGAGTTCGATTTCCGCTCACGACCAATAACCGTGGGGAAAATCTAAACTGGTCATGGGCCTCCCCTAGGTCGACTCAGCCTTAAATTACCAACTGGTGTGGTGTTTAATATCAGCACCAGGGGGACAAATGCAGCTAAGCGTGGTGTTGGCCCCCCTGCCCCCCTCCTTGTGTGCTGTCCCGGTGCTCGCTAATGCCAGACACATTTTACTTGGGCATGTTGCGGGATTCCCTTGTTATTCACTGCATGCTTTGTTGAATTGTCATAGGCAGGACTCCTAATCCCAGCGGGGTTTCTGTCGAGGGGGTAACAATTTGCCTTCCTGTGTGTGATCTGTCCCGTTTGTACCGTCTCGTTTGTGTTGCGTCGCGTATGTTCAGTTTGTCTATTGTAACGCAAGCATGAATATGGAAGAGGCTTGTGGCGATTAACGATTCACCCCCTCGTTTAGTTTTTCCCGTCTCCCTCGTATTGTTCCTCTTTTGCTTTGTGCCATCCGAACGCTTTCACTTTTATCCAATGTGTGACGTGAGCATGTCATCATGATTATTACCGTATAAAATAAGTCGCACGAGTTTTTCTAAGAATCAGTCTTTGCGCGCACATTTCGCGGGAGCGTATCGTCACGAGCGTCGGCACCCGACGCACCTCACGCAGCCCAACCGGCCCGGCAGTCGGAAAGGTTGCGAGTTCAAATCCTGGTTCGGAGGTTCGATTCGGCTCCTCATCCCTCGCATCGATCCACGCTGGGCCAGCGTGGTAACGTATGCTCAAACAACTCCCCGCCCCCACTCCAACGACCTGCACTGCGTTTGGGGGCCTTCGTCTGTACCGTGGCTGTGGTGTGGCCGTTGTGCCGAACAGGACCCCGCCGTGTCAGCCCTTTACCGTGACCTTGTATAAAGTGGGAGGTCATACACCGTACAAAACCCTCGGGATGGGGCGAGGGGTACGACACGATGTGAAATAAAGTGTAAACAAAAGTGAAACTCTCGTTTGGGAATGCTACCGCATGGCGCTCTAACCCTGGTGTGTTAAACATCGCATCAATGTTGTTGCCTCGATGATAAGAAATCATAAGCGGGGGGCGGGGGGGGAGAGGGGGGCGGGTGCTCAGCATTCAGCCCAGGAGTGAGGTTGCGGGAGGTGCGAGTTCAGGTCGCCCGACGCTTCGGTCCTGAGCAGTGCGTGCGTGCGTGTAGCCTGCGGTACCATCGCCACCGTCGCTACCCCACGACCGTCGTCGCCGCTGCTTGCCTCGGGCGCGGGGCGCGCACGCGCAGGCGGTTCACTCGATTGGAGACGGCGCCTGCGCCTCCACCTCCCGCATAAGCTCGCCGAAGATGAGGTGTCATTGCGGCGGCCAGGTTTAAATTTACGGCTGAGATCGATATCGCGGCGGCGATCGGATCTACATTTGTAAGTACTTTACACGGCGCGCACTGACACGGGGCGGGTGCCGCGCTTCGCCGGGACCCCTGCGCCCGTGCCGCTAAACGGCCGAGATTCATGGCCGAAGCCAAAGGTTACGCCGCTTTGAGAAATTACTTGGCCCCCCGTGTCTGTTCCGCTGTCGCCGCCGCCGCCGTGCGCACGTGGAATTACGTCCGCACGGCAGCCCCCGCCGCACCTGCGGCAGCCGCGAGCTTCGCCCGTTTAAGGTTAAGCCCCAATGGCCGTTTGAATCGCGTCACTCTCGCTGATGGCCGCCCACGGAATTTATTCGTGTTTCGTTTGCCCGTCGGCTTGGCGACGGAGCGGACAACTTTGCGGCGCTTCTCCGCCAGCACGCACGCGCTGGCTGCTGCAGGGTGACTCGGCGTCGTTGGGTTACTAAGTTTGAGTTTGAATACCGCCCGGAGAGAGGTTATGTGTTGAGTTGTGGATCCCTCCTGCGTAGATGCGGTTCTTTTGGGAAGCCTGCATATTGAAAAATGCTTTATTAAAGCATCGGCTATTTGTAATGATGTTCTGGTCAAACCCAACCCACGGTAGAGACAAGCGACAGGGTGGCTTCGGAGAGAGGGGGTCCGCTGCGGAGATTGAGCAATGAAATCGGCTTGTGCAGTCGCAAGTGCTCGGTGGTTTGTTGCAGTGTGGGACCGTGTGAGATGGTGAGGAATTGGCGTGGTGGTTCGGGGGGGGGGGGGTCGGAGGGCGCGCCTAATCCAGCAGCGGATTGATCACAGCTGATGATGATGATGAAGTCTCCTCTAACAGCAGAGCCTGCAAACGCTCTCAACTGTCTCCCTAATCCCCTCCACTCTGCCACCAGAGCCTTAGGGTGGAAGTGGGTCCTTAAGCTGCTCGGGGCTCCTTCCCTCCCTTCTCGCCCCCCGCCCATCCGCCTCCCAGCACATGCCCCTTGTTGGCGGTTGTTGCGGTGCTCGTGCTTGATAGGGGTTTTGTGGGTAATTATTGTGATTGTCACGAGAGTGGGCGCGTGCGGGCGGAGGGGGGGGGGGTGCCTTGGGCTGTTTGTATTTTTTGTGCTCTGGTGGAAAAGTGGTGGCTTGTCTCGTAGGCCTTGGGGAATGTGTGATGGTGGTGCTGGTGGAGTTGTGGTGCAGTGGTTAACGTGCTGATCCGAACCCGCGCTTCCCACCGTGGCGAACATCAGTGCCGGTGATGCCCTTATGATGATAATTACGACACTGATAATGACGTCCGTATATAGGGATTGATGGTCGTCGTAACAGTTGGGACGATAATGATAATAATCATAATGACAATTATAACGTCAATGATGACAATGCTCATGTGGATGATGGTGGTCACGAATGTAATGCCCGTGATAATGATGACAATTTTGATGATGCTGGTGCCGGTTGTGACGAGTGGAGGCTGCTATTGACATTTGACACCATGTCATTTTGTTCCCTGCCCCATCACCACCGCCGCTTCCACTACTACTCCTACTTCTGCTGCTTTTGCGCCTACTGCTGCTTCTCATGTTCCCGCTGCTGCTACTTAATTCACTGCACTTGTTGCTGTTGCTACTACTCCTGCTGCTTTTGCTACCTTTTGCTCCTCCTGGTTCACTTCCTGCTTCTGCTGTTATTACATCTGTTGCTGCTTCTGCTGTTGCTAATGTTGTTGCTGATGCTGCACCACTTGCTACTATTGTTGCTTTTGCTCTTTTGCCGCTTCGGCTACGGATGCTACTGCTTCTGCTGCACCCCCCCAACCCCCGTTGCACCCCCTGCTGCACACGCTGATGCACGCGCCGCTGTAACCCCTGCTGCAACTCCCTGTTGCACTTCCTGCCGCTTCTTCTTTCCCCCTCTTGTACCTACTGCTGCGCGGGCCGCGCAGGGGCGTTTGACGACGACGACATTGTGCACGTGGAGGGCTCGGTGGACCCCGTGCGTGACATCGAGATCATCCACGACGAGCTGCGGCTCAAGGACGAGGAGCTCATCGCGCCCATCCTCGACAAGCTGGAGAAGATGGCCGTGCGGGGCAACGACAAGAAGCTGAAGCCCGAATACGTGAGTCTCGCACCGCGGGGAGAGCGAGAGAGAGAAGAGCCTCTTTTGTTCAATCGAAAGTAAGCCACTATTGAACTTTATTTTTATTTTACCAAGGCTAGGACGACCACTGAGCTATATAGGTCTTTTTCATAAGCGACCTGGCTTAAGATTATTAGCTCAACGAAGTGGCTTATCGCGTGAAGGTTTGTAGCAGCCAAATACGCTAAAACGCACATTGATTCTCAATGTGGAGGGAAAAACCGGAGGACCCGTTGTGGCCGAAACGTCGTGAGAATTATTTTATTATGTATTATTTTTATTATTTTATTACTTCCCTTCTACGTGACTTTACCGAAAGAACCAAGAAGGCGAAATACATTGTTTTACTCTACTATGCTGCGACGTCCGTGCTGCCCCGCCTTCATCAATCCGCACGAACCAGCACGGTGAAATATGGTAAATGAACTTCCGTGACCGAGCATGGCATAGGGAGGGCTTCGTCCAGCGGTGAATGGACACAAGGGGGTGTTGCAGGTGGGTGTGGGGGGCGTGCGACGATGATCGTGGCGAATTGAGCGAAGCTGTTGGCTCTCCGCAAGATAAACCACGCACGTCCTAATCTAGTCTAAACTAATCTGCCGCTGTGTTTCCGAACGGCAACGGGGCTCGCATTCGTTTTGAGGTGACAGAAAAATAATGTTTACCAACATGTTGGGGGGAAGGGGGGGAGAGCGGCGAGGAGAATTTGCATTTAATGTTTACGCGTTTATGCCACTGCCGTTATGTGTGACAAATCCAAACACAATTAGCCCCGCACGGCAACAAAGGACGTTGATGGGTCTGCGTGCGGAAGCTACCTCGGCCACTCTTTATTTTTACGTTCATCATTTTTTTTCTTTCCTCCCCCCCCAGTCGCTTCGGCGTTGCTTTTAAATTGCCGTATATTTTGGTTTTAATTACGCTTTTGATTTGAGTGTAACCGCAAAATTGGCGGCGATCTGCACGCGCCGTCAATTTGTGTGCACGCGCGGCGGCGCGCCACGTAATTAGGGCCTTGCGGTCGTCCCGGCAGCTGCACCATTATTTACCCGGATCGGACGCCCCCCGTTGCACCTCCCCACCCCATCCCCCGCTCGCTCCACCAAAACACGGCAGTCTCAGCCGCCGTTGTCATCACCGCTGCCATCGCCGGTTTCGCCGCCGCCACCACCACCACCTCCATTACCTCCACCACAAATCACTGCGGTCTCCGCCACCGCAACCATTGCCCCCACCACCGCACAGTAGAGAGAGTTTTGGCGAGCGCGCCTTCTCGTACGCTGGGCCCAAGGCTTGAAAAACTCACTTGCCATAAAACTGCGTGCCGAGAAAAAAAATCTATTATCTTTAGGAAACTTTGGAAATCTTTTCGAACTAGCTTTTAATTATAAAAGCACAGAAATTAATTACGTGATGTACTTCTAGTCAATATTGTAAGCGGCTCAATATAAGTAACGTTTGTTTTTAGTATTTCACCCACCTGTCACTGCCAACATCACCTCTACCACCATCATCACCAACCACGGCCATCACCACCCCCCACCACGTCAAAATACTGCAGTCTCCACTGCCACCACCATCACTGCCGCCACCTCCACCACTGCCACCACCAGCACTCGACCCACCACCACCACCATATCCCACGATGCCCCCCAATGTCTGGGCCGATCGTCCAATTCCAGAGAGTTTGGCTGAACTTTGAACCGATGTGAAATAACAGCAAGGAAATAGGAAGGCACAGAAATCAAAAGTGCAGCGTATTTCGGGAGCATTCCGAGGGGGCAGTGTGGCGGGCACTTACACGCGCTCGTGTTTACACGTTCTACCAAATACTGGCTCACTCGGCCTAGGGGAGGCCCAGGACCAGTTCGGATATTTATTGCCGCTGAGAATTGAACTGAGGTTACACGGTTTGTAGTGCAGTAGACTTGCCAGTGCGTCACCGCTTCCCAACACTCACTGTGATCACCTGGTGTAGTACTTATTTTAGTTCGAGTCAACCTAGGGGATGCCCAGTTTAGAATCCCCTTCCATTTGTTACTGGGGTGGGTTTTGCGTCTTGGCCGGCAAGTAACCTCGCGATTTTGTGGTCGTAGTGCAATGCGTGAACCATCACAACAACATACAAACCCACGGCGAAACTTAGTTTGGCTTGAAAAGCGAGCTAAAGAGACTAATTCCTAGCGCTCGCAAACCCTCCGAACCCTCCATCAATGAGCCAAGTCAGTCGCTCAAAGAACACCTCGAGGAAAAAGCCTTTGGAAGGTTTTCGCTTTTTGACGTAAATTCTGCAAAGAAAAGTGCAGCTGCGAATGGTGTGTGTGGCTGTCTTGAGGGCATGTGTGAGCTGGGAAGGTTGTGTGTGTGTGTGCGCACTGGGGGGAGGGGGAGTGGATTTGTGTCCGGGTTGGCGCATTAGTACGCATCATTACCTCCTTTTCCGCGGCAGGAGTTAGGGCAAGGGTTCCTAACTGCGCGTAAAGCATCGCACAAAGGGAATAGGTTATTTTTTTTCCACCACCGTTTTTTGTGTCTTTTTTTTTTTGTGTGTGTCATCTGTCCGAAAAGTGGCAGATCAGCCAAAAACACCAGCTGTTCGGTAAAGGGCGCAGAAAAAATAATTTGCATCATAATGAGCGATTCCCACCCTGCACGTTACATCGTTATGCGTTCTGCTAATTAATATAAATCGCGCAGTATCAAAGCGTGTGTCGGCCCTTATCAGAAGCTCGGGATAAACACAATTGTCCATGAGCAAGTCCGCATCGCCTACATGCTGTGCCGCATCAAAAGCACAACATCACACTGTTGTAAACACGTTTTTTTCTCCCTATACGTAAAAACGGAGTTACAGCTATTTAGAAAATGTTGACGGTCATACTCAAGCCACGGCGCTTTAATTATCGAGCCGTTTTTTACTTGCAGAAGTGAGACGGAAACGTGGCATGTATTGACGTTTATTTACGTCGCTTGTCTGGAAGAAAAGAAAGGGGTGTAAGAAAAAATTACTAAAAGCAATAATAGAAATTAAATAATAAATCACGACGTTTCGGAGGCAACACAAGTCTCCGTCATCAGGTGGGACCGTATCTTGGAATCTTTGCCTCACTTGATACAGCAAATCTAGCTGTGACGGTCCCACCTGATTACGGAGACTTGTGTTGCCTCCGAAACGTCGTGATTTATTATTTTATTTTATTTCTATTATTACTTTTAGTAATTTTTTCTTTTCTTTTTTACCTACGTGACTTTACCGAAAAAACCTAAGAGTATGAATCCTTGCAGTCACGAAAGCTTCAAATCTAGAATTAAAGGGGTGTAAAACCGAGTGACGAGTCGCCGACTGATTTGCTTGGCGTTGCGTGTAGTGGTGGTGCTCACGGGAGCGCCGCATCCTGGACGTGCCCCGAGCGGTGCTGGGACGCCACAGTTGTCATTCCAGTTATGAGAACCCCAAAAAAACCCTCGCCTAAGTATGTACGTATGTTGAACTTCTTTCACACCGTACGTCGCCAACCGTGGTCATCGGAGGTGCGGGGGAAGGACAAACCTCTCAACGAAGTCGCCTATGTGCTCATTCCGCTCGACATATTTGCATCGCTGTGCCTCTCCGCGGCACCGTCATGCTCTTGAAAAATAAAACAAACTTAATTTCACGCAATGAACACAAACCGGAGAGAGAGAGGCTGTCGCATGTGACCTGAGGCAGTGAAGCCCCTCTGTTGAGTTGTAATTAGTGGCTGCCGCATGCAAGGGGAGTTGCGAGCAATTTTTTTTTATTCTTTGTTTAACCCCTTTCCGTTTTTTTGGCGTTGGCCTCGCGGTCCCTGCGGTGCCTTGTGCTGCCCGACAGAACTCCCTTCCCGGCGAGACATTAATTCAAAGGCAGAAGCGCCGTGCCGCGTTTGATTAAAATGTATTTTTTTCAGCGGGCATATTCCGAGCTGCGAGCGTGGATTACGCACTCTCCAGCTAATTAAAAACTTTCCAGGGACCCGTCTTGTCCGAGGCAGTCCCGTCTGCGTTAACCCGTGGCTGATAATCTGCGTGAAGTGTGCGCGTTTATATTTTCTGTTCATGTTGTTTAATTTCGAGCCCAAGTCTACTACTTGGCATGTCCAGCGCCAAGCGAACATGTGGTGGCGGACGGCAGCGTTTGTACGTTCTTGGAACAAAAGTCCCGGCGCCGGCCTTGTGAACGTTCGATAAATGTAACCCCATTAGCCGCACTTGGTTAATTCATGGCTGGATTATTCTCCGGGCAAGGATTGGAACGCCGTGTTGTCGACGGTTAGAATTCTCCGTGCGTCTGTCAGGGGCATGAAGATCACCCCTCCCCGGTGATTGGATTCAATTCATTAATCGATTAGTTATTTTTTGTGTCGAGGACTGTACTGTATGTTTTTACCATTTGCCGCATTCTCTCTCGCTTGCTTTGCTGTATTAGTTATGCGCTATTTGCTTTAGGTTACATTCCATAGTAACAAGAATAATAATTATATACGGCCCTTTGTCAAACTACTGCTGGGTGAAGGCCTCCCCCACTCCGTGTTGTTTCATGACCACGCTGGTCAGTGTAGGTTGGTGATGGTGGGTGGGTGGGTAGGGATGTCCAAGACTGGTTCGTCTTTCCACTCATGTCACAGTAGCCGGGAATCAAACTCGGATCGCCGGGTTCATAGTAGGATACATGAATCACTGCTCCGCCGTTCTCCTTGGTACAGCGGTTGGCGGGCCACTCCAAGAACTTAGTTCAAATCCCCGTCAATTTTTAAGTAATTTCCTGCAGCAAAGATGGTAGACTTTGACAGGTTCTGGACCGTTAAGATAAAGGTTCAGACCTGCGGTTACTTGCTCACGGCACCACTGCTGGCATCTTGACATGAGACTGCTCAGTGACACAACCCCCAACGGTCATTGCAAAGGGAAGTTTTCATTTAAATACAGAACCTGCAGATTTCACTCCTTCACGATGATGGTGAAACTTTCACAGAGCTGTACCTGAGAAGCGCAGGCTCTGGGCCTACGCCAGGCCAGAGGTCGCAAACGGGTTTTGATTCCTTACCCATACCCGTACCCGGCCGCACCAGGGTCGCAAACGGCTACCCGTACCCGGCCGGGTACGGGTACCCGTTCCCTACTCGTACCCGTACCCTACCCGAAATGAGTGACAAACGGTTACTCACCAGTGACTCACGGCCTACCCGTACCCGGCTGCACCGGGTATCGGGTAGGGTACGGGTATCGGGTACCCAGTTGCGACCTCTGCGCCAGGCTGATCACCGCTGGGAACGTTGCCCTCCCTTTGTCCACCCACACGAGTTTCCGCACCGATTCCGTGTGTACGTCGCCAGTGAGGCTCGGTGTGCCGCCGTCAAACCCCTCCCCCCGGACCCTCGCCGTAACCTCGGGGGCGCGGCGCGTGTGAATTGGGGTGGCTCGCCACGCCGGCGCTCCGACCACGCCTCCGCTTGTGCGCTATCGCAGTGCCCCTACTCACTGGATCGTGGCGCGCGGCGGATGCCGCTGCCGAGACGCCGCAGCAACCTCTCGCCCCTCGCTGTGCTGATTTACCCCCCCCCCCCCCACAGCCGTCCCGCCCCAGTGTCACGAATTACAAAATTATCGCAATTCCGCGGTCGCAATTCGGATCGAGAATCGGCTTTATTTGTTGTATTGTTGTAGATGTAGCCAGTAGGCATCACACATACGCTAGTTGTACATAATGTATAAATATAACGTACGAGTTCATAAAGTCTGTCTTCGCCAGGCACAATGTTTCAATAAATATAATAATTAACCTGATGTGATTTTTTTACAATTTCATCTACGATCAGACACTAACAACTACTCCAAAAATGTGTATTTTTCCGACAAAAAACTCAGTTGACAAGTTGATTCAACTTATATTTAAAGACCTATCCATCGAAAACTGCTCAATTTGAAGATACCGTTCTTTTTTTTATTTGAAAGAACAAAAATGTATCAACTTAATACTCTCTGAGGGGAAGCTCTTATCTTTTACCGTCTTATAATTATTCAGATTTGAACATCATAAAATGCATATTTTTTTCATGCAAAACTGCTTGAATCTGAAATATCTGGAAAACAGAAGATAGAACAATGGTTCTCGCTTTAATTTTATTTGATGTTTAAAGCTCTATCAAACTAAACAAACCGCAATCTTATCATTTGAACAGTTTCTGAATGACACCACGAACAAACGTCTTTATGGGGCACTTAGAAACGAGATTTGGGGGTCTTTAAAAGCTGCCTATATATAACCAAATATATAACCAAATTTCAGCTTTCTGTCTTGTCGGGAAGTACCCTAGAGGTTTTTGAGACGTACAGATTAAGATCTTTATTTATCTTGTCAGTTCATCGGTGGATGAACGCTCCCCAATACCTTGTTGGTCATGGGGGTTGTTTGACCATACTTGACCGTGTTAAGCAGTGCGAGTTAAAGGAGGGGCGGGTGGGAGAGGCCCAGGGTCTGGGCCAGATTTGACTCGCCACTGACGTTGGCCCTGGCCGAGAATCGAACTCAGGTTGCTGGGTTGATCGCGCGGCATGCGAACCATATGCCACCACTCCGCCCACGCGACATACGAATCAACAAATAACCGATTTCTCATTGGCCCTTTGACGCAGGGCGTGGTAAGCAAAATAATCCGTGTCCGTTAATATTTACTTATTCAGGAAAATCCACACTGAGTCGTAGAACTCCAGCGGTGAGTTTTTATTGAAAAAAAAATTCAGCCAATTAGTGACGCGTATAAGGTGCCAGCAACTCTCTCCCGTCCACACACATGGAAGCAGGTGGAGATGAGTCCACTTGCTCTACTGCCTTCTGGCGAGCCGGAGTTATGACACCTCGACGTTCCACAGGAAGGGAGGTTCACAACACGTGTGTGTGTGATCATTGTTTTTTTTACCATTTTTTCTGGCAACAAAATTGACACCTTTTTTACAAGGAGTCATGTTTGCATAGACCACAATACCTGCAGTCGTAATGCAAACAAAAAACATAACTCTGATAATGTATGCACTGTCCTTGAAGTTGATTGGTCCACACCCGAGAGACAGCTTTCCTTAGAGCCTAGTCTCACATGGTGTTGGACCAGATGACGACCAGATGATGCCAAAAAGGTGTGTGTGTGATCAGCAAACTCTTGCCTCCACAGTGCTGGATCGCAGACAACCACGTGCGTGGCCCCTGCAGCTCGTTTATTTAAATGCCTTTAAAGGCGGTGGTAGCGAATGTGGCTGCGTAGCTGTGTTGGGGAGACGGAGCGCGTGGATGAGTAGGGATGTGCTCTCGCGTGCGGCAAACTCCCCCGATTTTTGGCAGGAGCTCATCTTACAAACTTTTTTTGTCATGAACTAAAATCCTTCTGTGTCCGCTGTGAGGGCCGCGCTGCCGAGAGTGATGGGGGAAGCGATCATTTTACCCTTCTTTAGCAATATAGGAGAACAACTCTCAAGTGGTTTCTGTCTTTCTGCTCGATCACAATTGTCTCTTTCTTTTGGATTTCTGAGTGTTAAGGTCCGTTCCTAAATTAAGTAAATTTCTTCAGGTATTTTGATGTGGGCCTGGCTGCAGTGTCATGTTTCAAACATTTTTAGTTTTTCCTTTTTGTTCTTTTTATCTGTGAAGCCTCCCTTGAGTCTCAAGACTCTTGTTCACGAATGTTTAACACGGAGGCTTTCGCAAGCAATATTAACCCTAATAGAGGTTATTGGGTTTAGATCGCGGAAATATAAATGTGTCGTTAAACCCGCCACCACCTAGTAACGAATGAAAGTAGTAACGAATTGGCACGTTTTGTGTACGTGGAAAACCTTACTAATTGGCTGTTGTCGGGTGGTGACGGCTTTAATGACACACATCTATAATTACGCGATTTAACCCAAAAACCTCGACTATGCGTGTTCAGGAATGTTTTGCGCTGGAGTGTTTGCCAAAATTCCGTCTGTGCGTATGCCTCCGTGTGGGAGGACACCAGAGTGCCCGGAGAACAGCCCACGCGCATGAGGGGATGACGCTCATTGCCGCCATCTCGTAGCCCCAGGCCTACGACGTCTGCCAAGCCCTGGTGGTCACCCGTCCAGACAGTAGCCAGGCTCAACAACTGCTTAGCTTCAGAGATCCCGACGAGATCGGGCATGTTTAGGTTGCTTTTATCTTTGCGCGAATAGAAACCAAAGTGGCGAGAGAAAACCCACGCTTATCTGGGGATAACGTTTCAAAAATCCGTACAGATGGGTCCGCAACCGACTCCGCTGTACTGCCATCTGCCGTCCACCTGCGATTTGTGAGTTTCACACGTGCGATGCACCTTCCATCTGCTGGCATAAAGGCGCATGCCTATCACACGGACGACAATGACCGTGACAATAATGGTGATGAATACGAGGATAATGATGATGATGGTGGTGGTAGCGATTATGATGATGACAACGATGATGAGGATAACGGTGATGTACCACAGCCTTGGTCTAGAGCAGCGATGATGACAGACGTGCACCGCTTCGAGCTGACAGGCAGCTGGTGTCGGAAGCCGCCACAGTGCCGTGAGCGCGGCGCGCCGCGCAGAGTTAAAAGTGACACGGCAGACAGGAGTTTCTCCAAGCAAGTAACGCGCCGAATTACTGTGTCGCTCGCATGCCTTGTTAGACGTGTGTGTGCGTGTGCGTGCGTTTGTGTGGGGAGCGGTGGTGCACTGGTTATTGTGTTGCGCTATGAACCCGGCGACTCGAGTTCAATTCCCGCTCATGGCTAACACCAGTGACGATTGTCTGAACCGGTCCTGGGCCTACCCTAGATCGACTCGGCCTCAAATGAGTTCCTGGTGCGATGAGTAAACATCGCCACTGGGGAGTCAAAGGTGGCCGGGCGTGGTGTTGCCGCCACCCACAACACCTCATCGTGCGCCGTGTCGGCCTTCGTCGGTCCTCGCGAACGGCACTTGCCCCAGCAGCGCGTGTCGACTGCTCAGGGGATTGTTGGCTGTCTGTCAGGGGGGCGGTTTGGTTTGGCTCTGCGGTCCCCACGTTTATTTTCCTGCTCGTGCCGCCCTTTTTTTGGGGGTGGGGGGGACGGGAGGGGGAAACCCAGCGGCCTGCCAGGAGGACTCGGACTCGCTTGCCCTCGTTATACCGTTTCATCTACATTTATTTATTTACTTTACCCCCTGCTCTACTCATCCCCCCATCCCCCAACACAGCCAACTAGAATCCCCCCCCCCCCTCTTATTTTGTCGCCGAGCGCACTGCGCTTTTGAAAGGACTCTGCGGTGGAGCCCTAACGCCTTATCTCTGCCCACAGGACATCATGTGCAAGATAAAGAGCTGGGTGGTGGATGAAAAGAAGCACATCCGATTCCACCCCGATTGGAATGATAAGGAGGTGAGACCGCTCTGATATCCCCCCCCGGTTTTTCTCATTAGCGGCCGACACCGCTGCTACTCGCCGACCTCCCCCTCAGGCCCCTGCCGCGCCACAACCACCATGGCCCCCACCACTCCGCACCCCCCCTCCCCCCCCCTGCTGCTGCTGCTGATGGTGGGAGGGCGGCAGGCAGCGTTCGAGGAGGAAAACCAGCAGGCGCTTGTGGTTGTGGTGGTTGTGACTGCGGTTCTGGCAGCAGCGTCGGTGATCGTAACCGCAGTGTTGGTAATGACGGTGTGGTGGCGGTTAATGGTGGTGGAGGCGGAGGTGGTGGTGGTGGTGGAAGTGGTATTAATGACGGTGTTGGTGGGAGTGGTGTTAATGAACGGTGGTGATAGTGAGAATGATGGCGTTTGTGGTTGATGGTAGTGGTGATGGTGGCATTCGTGGTAATGACCAGTGGTAGTGGTGATGGTGGTAATCATGGTGGTGGTGGTGATGGTGGTAATCATGTTGGTGGTGGTGGCTGTGGTGGCGGTGGTGCTGGGAAGAGGGAGCGAGAGAGAGAGCGGTGCGCACGGTTGTTTAATCTTCTTCCACATCCACCGCCTTGATACGCAGCCTGTAATGCAAATGAGGACAACAGTGGGATGCGTTTGATACGCGCGTGGGAGTTCATGAGAGTGCGCGTATGTTTGAGCGAGCGTGCGTGCGTGCGTACATGCACACACGGACTTTAATCCGCCTTTAAACTGTCGCTGCACTCGTGTTCCAATCAGTCCGGATCTTATTTTTATCCGTTTTCTCCTCCCAATATTTTTTCACACGTGTTACACTGTACATACAGTATATGAGCGTGTGCGCGTAGCTGCAGCGTAAAGCGGTTGGAGCACCGCGCTACGAACTTGACTACCCAAGTTTGATTCCCGCTCACGGCCCACTTCAGGAACGATCCCTCGGCATCCTCTGGATCAACCCGACCTTAAATGAGTACCTGGCGCCATGTGTGTATACATCAGTACGGGGGGAGACAAAGGCGACCCTACCTCCTACTTGTGCACCGTGCTGGCCTTAATAGGTGCTCGCTAATCAACACTTGCCCCAACAGCCTGTGTAGGCTACAAGGGAAGACGGTGGGGGTGGGGGGGGGAGAAATTTTCCATCTACTTATTTGATTCTAGATGTACAACGCTCCTGCAAGACATGGCGCCTCCAGCCGAGCGCGAGCGAGTCAGTCTCCAGCGTGTTTTTCGAGTGACAGTGCCGGCTCGGGAGCTGAACACCGATGTGAGCGGTCCAAGGCCCAGGCACGAAGCACAACCCGTCCGCTTGGGCGCGACCACGCTAGGCCCGGCGCCGAGCCTTCTGGAACATCCGAATAAAACGCCGGCAAAGGTCAAGACACGCAGCGACGCCCTTCACAAGGTGGCTGCTTCGCCACGGGGTGCAGGTGACACAGCTGGTAGGACGTCGGCTCCCGCTATCTCCTACTCGGCAGCAGAGGTACTGCGCGCCAGGCTGGAGTCGGGTCTTCACACGCCGAGTTCGACGATGCGCACCATCGTCGCGGGAACTCTTCGACCGGCCCCTCTACCGTAGCGGCTTCCGAGTCCTGAGCAAACATTGCTCCCCCTTCACATCCGACGGAAAGTTGCAACAGCTAACAAGCGACTGGGGAAGATCGACGCCGGGCCGGGCTAACCCTGCCGCTGCACAGAAGATATCCGGCGTCCACCTGCGCCGCACGTCTTCCGTCACCACGACGCGCGCCTCGGTCCAAACGCAGCTGGCGGGAGGGACGGAGGTCAACATCGCCACCAAACCGGTTCGTTACCGTGGATCCTGCAGTCTGTCCACCTGGCTCCAACCTACCCACACCATCAATGTTCCGGACAGGGCAAGGTCTCTGTGCAGGCAACCTCCACCGCTGGGGTCTCCGTGACAACGAGGACTACACGTGGCCACCGAGGACGCTGTCGCATGGCTCGGCGATTGTGCACACACCGAATGAACGAATGCACACACTGTAAAGTTTACATCGAGGTATTGGTACCGATTGGTTCACTTTTCCCCCACGAATAGCACGTTTGGCCTGCCGGACAAACGAGGTTGACGGTGCTCGACTAGAATTCGGTCCAATATTAATAACAACAGTGACAAATCCCTACGATTTATTGTTTTTTTTGGGTTAGACCGTGAAGGTATATAATGCCATTGTCTATAACCTGCCACCACCCCACAGAGCTGATCAAACCACGTTGTCACGTGGTCAAATGTGCCCAACTGATTTGGTTTTTCAGCGAAGCGGAATTTTAAGGCAAGCGAAATGTTGACAGTTTCGCGCGGCGTTTTGCCGGAGGAGATTATTGCGGCGTGTCGCGGCGGAGCCATTACACGGGCGCTGACGTCCGACCCCCAGCGTCCGCCCCCAAGGCGTTAAGAGGCGAACGAATTCCTGTGAAATAAAACAACCGCGTGATTGTTCCAGCGGGAGCGTGCGTGCGTGCGTCTCATCCCACTCGCTGTTAATGCTCATAACATTTTTATCCTCTGACGGTCGGCGCTCTCAATTATCCGGGGGTAACGGGATCGGGGAGGGTGGGGGGATGGTGGCTCGGATAAAACAAACATGGAGTACTTGATGAATAGTGTATATATTATAACGAGCACACATCCACATTTTTCCTTTTAATCCTGAAGAGAATTCGACATCTCGCACGCTGCGCTTGTATTTTCACGCGCTCGCCGATTTTGCGAACGTTCCACGGACTTTTGGGAACCCTTGCCACCTACGTTGACGCATCGCAGTGGGGTCAGTCTTCCTCGTGTAATAAAGAACGTACACCCCTCTCGCACACTTTGCGTGCAACTTGTCATCGTTGTCGACGTGAATGTGCCTGTTGGCATTATGTTTCTGTTGTTGTGATTGCCGTTGCAGAGTAGTTGGCTACTGCCGTAAAATCTTAACGCGACAAGCCACTTGGTCGAGCGATCAATTGTAATAGCAGGGTCGCTGTATGGCCCAGTGGGCCTTACCTGGTAAAATAGGCATAGTGAAATTTTATTAGAAAAATAAAATGAAAATTGTTAGAATAGAATTCGTCCTTCAAATTGACTTGGATGAAGCCACAGCGGCAGGCCTGGGTCACTCGTAGAGGCGTGACGGCACATGGAGTTGTCGGGATGATGGCTCGCGCTCTAACTGGAACGCTGACGACTCTCCGCCTCTCGTGTTTCACGTCCCGGTTGTATCGCTCATCCTTTGTTCCGTCTCCCTTGTGGAGTTTTGTTCGCTCCATTAGCCCACATGTAACCTACCGTGTGATTTATTGTGCATGTAATAAGCATGCATTTGTGTTAATGCATTGCATTGCTGAAGCAGTAATTCTGCTCCAGCAGAATTACTGCTTCAGCAAAATTACTGCTTCAGCAATGTTGCTGGAGCAGTCAACGCCTGATGACGGTTGCTTGTGTGGCTTCCGAAACGTCGTGATTTAATTTATTTTTTTATTTTTTTACCTACGTGACTTTACCGAAAAACCAAAGAGTATGGATCCTTGCAGTCACGATAACTTCAAATCTAGGATTCCTGACTTACCAAAGCGGTTATCGGTTTCGGAGAAAGATTACCGATTTACCCATCATCTTTTAGCAAGCCCATGAGAGTGCTGGCCCCCGAGGGTTGCGACGTTGTCAGGGCGGAGGAGGCTTCACCGTGGCCGCCGTCTCGCCCGTGTGCCCGCAGATCGAGGTTCTGAACAAGCACCTGCTCCTCACCTCCAAGCCCATGGTCTACCTGGTGAACCTGTCCGAGAAAGACTACATCCGCAAGAAGAACAAGTGGTGAGCCTCGGCGGAGACATCGGCTTGAAATTCAGTGTTAATTACAATTAAAGTAATTATCGTGCTCGGGCCCACGTGTGAGAGAGAGGGAGAAGGGCCCTTGCCTTTGGCCACTTGGCAACCGGTGCCGAGTATGCCCGTGTCGAAACAATGTTGCTGAATTTAGCCTCTCCCGGAAGGCTGTGTTGCTGATGAGGTGTGCATGATTTTATTTTATTTTTGATGTGGAGGTGACAGATATGGGAAGTGGGGAGGTTGGGGCGACGTAATGTCTGCTTCTTTGTTTTGTTACGCTCAAGTTGAAATCGGTGCTGTTCCGCTTACGTGAACGCAGGGCGGGGAACCCCTCTTGTGTTTGCAGCTACGAGCCATTGGTGGGAATGCCACATTCCGATGGCAGGCGGCGAGTCTATCCGTAGGACAACCACTGCCGACTGCCCTCAAATTGGTACTCATTTTGTCGATGCTTGAACTGTGAAGGGCCGAGCCAATCCCTGACCGGGGTGCGAACCCGCGGCCCGACGGTTTTGAAGGGGAGCATTCTCCAACTCGGCAGAAAAGCCGCCTCTGAGTCTCAGGGCTCCTTGGCAGGAGGGGGTCCTCCTGCCTGGGAGTCATCAATGAGTGTTGTTGACTTGTGAGGTTTCTCCGGGATCCTTTGGTTTTCTGCTAGCACCTGTCAAATATCACGTTACACGCTCTCACGAAATTCAGACTCACCGAAGCTTTCCTGGATAATGTATTATGAATTTGGATGAAGTGTAAACGTGTCCTCTTTGGCCTTATGGACTCCGGGGGCCGCAAGTGCCTCTCGCGAATGTCTATTCAGGCGAACAGCGCACGGAGGGATGGCGTGGCTGGTATACACTCACGAGTCATGAGTACACACCCATGCGTGGAAGACCTTGATTTGATTGAACACGGCACTTTGACTGTCACATGTCGAGCAATTAGAATAACGATGTGACTTTACCACATACAGTGTTAGCCTACTTCTGTAAGCCATGCTTTGTCTCCTTAGTGCTGATGTTTGCACACCACACGGCCTGCTGCACCTGCCATGCACACACTACCGCATGCACCCTGACACAAAAAAGACAAAGATCCCCCTTATAGCTTTAACAGACTGTAGGGGCAAGTGCTGTTAGCGAGCACCTATGAAGGCTGGAAAGGTACACGAGGGGGTGGGTGGCCAGCACCACGCCCGGCCGCCTTTGTCTCCCCATTGGCGATGCTAACACATCGCACCAGTTACTCATTTGAGGCTGAGTCGACCTAGGGGAGGCCCAGGACCGGTTCATATAATCGTCACTGGTGTTGGCCGTGATCGGGAATCGAACCCGGGTCGTTGGGTTCAATGCGCAGCGCGCTAACCGCTACACTACCGCTCCCCACCCTGCCACACGCACACTACCACACGCACCCTGCCACACGCACCCTGCCACAGGCACTCTGCCACCACACTCCACCCTGTGATAGGCACGGCGAGACCGCGTCGGCGCCTCTGTCCCCTGTGGCGTTGTCTCGCCGCCGCCGCCGCCACACTCCTCGCCCCGTCGTGAGTCCCCTCTCAGTGCCCAGGCGGCGAAGGGGGTGCGTGGAGGTGGGGGGGGGGGCGACGACGGGGGGGGGGGGGGGTGATGAGAGTGGGGGGTGAAGTTGGGGCGGAGGGGCGGGCAGTGGCAGACAAAATTACATCTGTGCTCTCCCCTCCCTCCTGCCGTCACTCTCACCTTTCTCATTTCTCCCCCCTACACTCAGCAATTACCTGGGCGATTCACACTCTTTGTTTGTGGGGCCACACCACCCCCTCGTGCGCCGTGCTCGCCTTAACAGGTCCTTGCTAACAGCACTTGGCCCAACAATTTCTTCAAGGCCACACTGCCTTTTGTGTTTAGTTCGTTGTCCTTCCCCCGAACCTCCGATTAGCACGGTTGGCTCAGTACGGTGCGAAAGAAGTTGAACGTACGTACGCACGTACATTGCGTTATGTTACAGTGCACGAGTGCACAAAAAACACTCGGTCGTAATTCTAACGATGATCGTCATCGTCGTCTTAATCGTCAGCGTCGGTGAAGTTCATACCACGTGTGTGACGGCTGCACGACTTTGCGAACGGAAGCCGAACGCAGTGGCCCCTTGTGTGTTGGGCCCCCGGGGCAGCTTGACCTTAAGCACCGTCTGGCGTGGGGAGGCGGGCGTGGAGCGATGCAGCCGCCCTTTGGCGCTCGCCGCCCCGTGATTGTAGTCGTGGAGGCGCTTCCGAGACCAGAATTCATCATTGTTCCCGCTACGAGTGCGGTCGGAGTAGCCGCAGTTGTGCTTCCTGCCTTTAATCAGATGAGTGTGTCCCCCCCCCCTTCCTTCGATTTGCCGACATGGCGAGCTGACATTTTGATGATGAGCCGAGGAAAGGCCCATGTAGTGTACTCCGCAACCACTACCACTCGTGCCCTGCCACGCACACACTGCCACACGCGCCCTGCCACAACAACAACAACCGCCATATGCCACGAAGTGGCGGTGACATAACCACGATGCTTGTGCCCGGCAATGTGCACCTTGAGGCCACGTGAAGTGTCGAACGCCCGCTGGCAGAAGGTCACGGGGCAGACCCAGATGCTACAGGTCGACTGACTGAGACGACTGGCTGGTGCACCACCTGTGCCCCCTACTGTGCCAACTTTTGCTGTGCTTTAGCCACCCGTCGCTCCGCTCGTTGTTGTGAGCGTCGCTCCTTCGTTGTTGTTGGAGGGCGACTGCCTCCAACTGCCCAGTAGCGTCCTTCACGAGCCTCCTCCACTGAGGCCGATCTTGACACCGCTGGTACCAGTCATCGGCAAGTCCACTCAGCTCCACGTCCTCCTGTACCACATCACTCCATCTCTTCTCTAGCCCGTACCACACCCGTCTAGCCCCCTCGATCCGGCTGAACTGTTTAGGCATGCGGTGGCTGGGGATGCGGGCTACATGGCCCAGCCGACCCATCCTTGCCTGCTAGAGGAGCTTACCGATGGGACTTTGTTCAGATTTTTCAAGGATTTGTGAGCTCCTCACACAATCCAGCCTGGTTAAACCCAGGACTGATCGTAGGCAGGACAGCCTAAATGTTTCTAACTGGCGAAGATGTTCCATTAGGGGGGGTCCACGTTTCGCAAGCGTAGAGAAGGGAGGGAATGACTGGCCGAGAAAACCTGAAGCTTCATGCCGAGTGACAGACCACACAGCGTTACGCAACAAGAATGTTTTTTGGCGCCTTCGTGGATTCCTCCGACAATATAATGGCAGGTCATCTCATGCCCCAAGAACGGCGTTGCCGATGTAAGCGAGATTTCCGCGTCTTGGCTGCGTGTGTCGAGGGAGCGCTCGGGAATAAATCCGAGAACCGACGGGGCCAGTCGACAGGCAGGCGTGCCGCCACGAGGCGGACACGTTTGCCCTCTTGGCTGCGTTTCACCGCAAACAGTCACCACCAAATCATCGCCTTCCATTGCCGCCGCTTCCTCGTAAACGTTTTTGCTCGCGCGCGTGCCCTCGTCCCGGGTCCTGGCTGCTTTGCGTTGGAGCCATGTCTGTCGCAGGAACGGCCCTTTATGAGCGCTTGTCAAAAAAAAAACATTTCGAATTCCACTGCAAGATTATGATTTTTTTAATCTGTATCCGGGCAAATGGCCATGGTCTCAACACACCCCACGTTTCAGCTGTACATAAAAAAAATAACAAAACAAAAACAAACTTGTTGATTTGACAAGTTGTCCTTTTCCGTGTTAGCTTTCATACGATTGGATGTTTGAAAATCCACATTGTCAAATATTGAGGTTGCCACCACCATCATGATTTGCCCGGATCAATCGATCCACTGCTGGATGAAGTCCTTCCCAAACCGCGACCATCCCTCACGGTCTCACTATGTGAAATACACCGATTGCCTTGGCACGAGCGGATTTTAATCGCTCCATCACTTGCGCGGTGGACGTCCCCTCGGGCGTGTCCCCCCTCCTGGCCGTCACTGCGTCGTCGTGCCGGACCCACGAGCTGCTCGTCCTGCCCGAGCGCGGCCGACGCCACTCTCGTGTAAACGACCTGCGCGCTACAAGGTGGACACTTTTCGTGTTCGTGTCAATCCGGTTGCGTGTTTTAAACATCACAAGTGTCAAGAAGTAAGGCCCGCCACCCCCCCCCCGCGCCTCTCCCCCCATTTAACAAAAGAACAGGATGAACATTGGGAAATTTAAAAAGTAAGGTTTTATTTTAATCAGCTTTTGTTCGTTGACGTTCAAGCGCTCACTCTGAAGAGCACGCTGCTACCCCCCCATCCTCCCCCTCCTGGCACTCGCAATTTGTTTGCCGTTGTTGACGACAAAAGACGCGCGTTTGGTCCCCGTCATTCAGACGGCCAAATTGCTGCCAATAATCGTCGTTAATTCCATTGCCCCTCGGGCAGAGCCCACGGTTCGGCCAAGTTGCACAATCTCCACAAAGAGCAGCCCTCGCCGCTATACCCCGCTCCTCCCCGCTCCACCCCACTTTACCCCATTCCACCCCGCTCCACCCCGCTCCACCCCGCTCTACTCCGCTCCACTCCGCTCCACCCCGCTCCACCCTATTCCTCCCTACTCCACCCCGCTCCACCTTAGCTCACTGCTCCTCCCCCCCCCCCTTCCATCACGGCAGCTTACGGGCGTTATGAGTGCCCCGCATGATTACTGTTTTCGCCCGGGCGGCGACAGGATTTGGCGCCGTACGCAGTGAGGGGGCGGAGGGGAGGATAGCAGTGGAGGAAGAGGGGGGGGTCTGGAGGAATGTTGCTGTGGCGAGGCGGCTCGCTGGACGCATAGCTGCGTGTCTGCGCGGCGGCGGCGGTGGCTGTGGCGCCACCGTAAAGTCGCGGTCGGCACTCCTCACGTAAATTACGCGCCGGGCTGCGGTTTCTAGAGGCCTCTGTTGCGAGCGACCGAGCTTGGCGCTTTGACGTTGACAAATCAATTGCGCCGAGTTTG